TGCAGCTTGAATGGCCTTGGGCAGGGTGTCTACCCGTTGTCTTTGTAGTTCCATACGGGCATGAGGTTTCAAACCTTCTATGAATGCAAAGAGTTTGTCTTTGTCCCCTATGTCGCGTATGTTTAGCATGAGTGCGGAGAATTCACACACGTACTCCCGCACTGATATGGTGTGGCGGAGCTCCCGTAGCTTTCTCCTTGCGTTGTATTCCACATTTTCGGGGAGGAACTGCAGGCGTAGGGCTGCCTTCAATTCATCCCATGTCTGGAGAGTATCTTCACCGGCCTTGATGGCTTCGTATTTGACCCGCCACCAAAATTTGGCATCGCCCTGAAGATACATGGCAGCAGTTGCTACCTTTTTGGATTCTTCCAAATGGCCCACGGCATCGAAGTATTGCTCGATGTCGAAGATGAAATTTTCCACTTCTTTAGCATCCCGGGATCCGTCGTAGGGCTTTGGCTCCGGTATCTTAAGCTTTTATGGAATGGGGGTGAGGTTTGTTGCACCCCTGATGTGGTTGTTGCCTCCTCGAAGCAGGCTCTATAGGGCAGCATTGACAACATTGAGCTTGCTTGTCAAGTTGTCTATAGTTTGTTGCATGACAGTTAGTCTGTCTGCCTCTTGTTGTCAATGTGCTAAATCGTCGGCACGCTCCTGTTGGAAGTTCTCAAATTTGCCATGAATATTGGCAGTTTCAATGGCTGCCGTTTGTCGGTCATCCTCAGAGTCACGACTGATGTTTGCAATGTCATTTTCCGCCTGCCGCATTCGGCGGTCCAGGTCGTCCAACCTTTGCACTAGGTTGTTGTTTTGATCAGGCACCTTATCCACGATGGGTCGTAATCGGTCAACCGTCTATTCTAGGGATGCCGGGCGCTCCCCATGATTCACCATGGTCAGAAATGGCGATGATGTCAAATGTGTTCCCTCGTCCGATGTCGAGCCTAGGCTTTGATACCAACTGTTATGCAACACCTTCCTGATGTTCTTTGGAAGGGCAACGTAAGGCTAAGCAATCGATGTCAGTGCGGTTGTTGTTCGCCAATGAGGTCCCCCCCGCACGCTAGACTAGATTGCCAGTGTCGTGCGGGAAAACCAATGTCACAAGCAATTGCGGAAGCTGAGAGAGAATTGGGTTTTGAATGATGATGATGATTTTATTGCTGAATGAATTGCTGATTACAAAAGATGCTGTGTCGAGGGGGAGAGACTCCAGTATAGAAAATTGCTTGCTTGAAAATGTTTGATTGTTTGATCCCCCTAATAATACTTAAAAAAAATAAACCAAAATTACATGACTAGTCCTAATAAAGTTGTAGAAGCACACTGAATGAAAATGATGTAAACTAGCCTATAATTACTATGAAAAGGACTTAGTTTATTACAATGTAGAACCAAGTCCGATGGTAGCAACTTTGTCTTGCGGGTCAGGGTCTGCGTGCGCGTAGCTGTGGGCGCGCGCGACACTTGCTGTGTTGGCCTGAGGCTGGGCGTTGGTGCTTGGCATCAGGGTCTGTGCGCGAGGCGCTGCTGGAATGGGCCTGCAGCTGGGCGCTGGCAAGGAATCAGGATCTGCGCGCGCGGCATTGTCAGGGCGCGCAATGCTGTTGTCATTGGACAGCCACTGGGCGCTGGCGAGAGGCATCGGTGGGGCGATAGAGGCGCATGAGCGCTTGTCACTTGGCGCAGCCAAGACCACGGGGCCGACCATGGCGCTAGGCATTGTGAGGCTTGCTAGGCCGCCATGGGGCGCGACCAAGGGGTCATGGGGCATGTCTGGAAAGCAGCCAATGACATGCATGGAATATGTAATAGTGCTACGTTTCTTCCTACTACAGTTTGTAATTGTCTAGTCACTCTAGGAAACAGTAATGTCCTCAGGGACTATGTTATGTCTATGTAACCTTTTGTTTATTAATATAATATGTATGGGTGAAAATCTGACCAAGCGAATCTTGCCTAAGAGAGGATAACTAAGAGCCGATGAGGCCGAGGTCGTGCTTAAGAAGGAACCTATTGGCGAGCTGAGTTGCTATGGTCGAGGTCGAGTACTCAGATCAACCCAAACAGTAGTTTAGTAATAAGATATTTTAGAGGAATATTTAACAGAATATTCTCTACACTTGTACTTTTAGTTAGGTAAGGTATATGTCCCATATAAGTGGGAATAGAGAGAGAAAAAAGGGCATGTAATATTCCATATGATAAGTTCTCTCATGCAAAGTTTACTCTCAAGAAAATTACAAACATTGTCTTTACAAATAGATTCGATTTGCTGTTGATCTTACACTTTCTCGCATCAGATCCGAGAAAGCTTTCTATATTCTCTCGTTTGTTTGTCTTACATCACTTTCAAAGGGAGAATCATCCACCTCATTGAATATTTGGGTGAATCATTCTCTCTATTTATATTTATTGCCATTTAATATATTTATTGCTTGTCATTACTCCTCCACACATTCATAACAATATCATTAAACACCCTTTGTATTAAATTGGTTTAAGTATAATTATACGTTGTTCATATCAATCGATTTCAGATCTAGGATTTATTATGTTTAACTAGGATTTACTCATTATCATCGTATTTAATTAGTTTAACAAAAAAACTTAATTTTTTTTGGTCAAACAATTTAGCGCCGTCTATGGGGATTTTCTAGTTAAAATTTTAGTTTCTTCTAGATCTAAAAAGAAAAACACACAAAACTTTGCAAAATCCCGTATTTCCTTGTTTGCACAAATATGACATGGCATGCAACGGAAAGGAAAAGAGAAAGATGATAGCCGACCTCACCACCAACCTCCTCTACACCATCAACGAAGTGGACGAAACGGAGGGCGAAGACATGACACCAAACACCTCTCCCAGGCGAAACAGCTCGCCTCCACCTCTCGGTAGCGTCACGACCTCGCACGGTAAGGGTGCCTCTACATCCACGACAGAAGAGGCACCACCAATAGTGAAAAAGCTACTTGAGGCATGGTTGACAAATACGCTAACCAGCTTCCTCGACAAGCCCGCTCAGAGGACAAGTAGAGAAGAGACAAGGGATGGTGTCGCATCAACAGCTGACGAGTAGCATCCCCTCTACCCCCCTCCCCGCAATAGGTATTACTCACAATGTTAGTGATACAGGTAATGACACCTTCACAACCATTTTGAGGAAAACGGAGGAGATGGAGAACGAGAACAAAATGCTCCGTAGCCAAATGAAAGAGCACCAAGAATGGGTAGACAAAATACCGGGTGCCCTAAAACTTCTGCCAAAAAGAGACGCCAGTCCGTTTGTTGAGCAACCATATAACGACGAGGCTGCACTGCATGTCATACCAAAGACCTTCAAAATGCCACCGTACTTAAAAATATACAACGACACGACGGACCCGGAGGATCATGTGACCCACTATGTCACTACAATGACCTCGCAAAAGAACAAGTATCATCCATATTACTGAAAAAGTTTGGAGAAACCCTAACCGGGGGAGCACTGACTTGGTACTCACAGTTACCTGCGCGTTATATAGAAATGTTCAAGGAAATGGCAGAAAAGTTCGTCACCGCCCATGCTAGGGCCAAGAAAGCATAGGCGAGGGTGAACGACATATTCGCCATTAAGCAATCGCCTCGCGAAGGACTCAGAGATTTCCTTGCCCGGTTCAACTGTGTAAGAGTGACCCTTCCAAATGTATCTGAGGGGATGGCGGTAGCCACTTTCCAGAATGGGCTAAGCACAAGTGGGTCGAGGGCGACCAAAAAGTTGCTAAGCCGACTCATGAAATACCCTCCAACCACTTGTGACGAGATACATAATGCCTACTATGCCGAGGTAAGAGCCGACGAGGACGATTTCGATGGACCTACCCAATGTTTGACCTCGGTCCAAACGGAGTATAGGAAAGACTGGAGAAACGACAGCAAGAGAGATCTAGCGGGATCTGGACCTAATCGAGAGAGACATCAGCCTTACATTAGAGGCACCCTCATGCCACCTCCACGCCACGATGAATGTCCATCCAAGCCGCGAACGGGAATCCACCGACATGAGAGAGGTATGCCACATTTATTATCTGCTCACAATTTTTGTATTTTCCCCTTAGAAATAGTCTACGCACTGGAGAAGCTCGGCCCAAAAGTGAAATGGCCACAGAAGATGAGATCCGACCCGAGCACCAGAAAGTCAAATGCTTTCTGCGAATTCCACCAGGAGCGGGGTCATATAACCGAGGACTGTATCGCCCCAAGACATGAGGTCGTGAACATGCTTCACCAAGGGCACTTGAAAAGACTGATGAGCGATCGCGGGAGGGCCAAATTTGCCCGAAGGCGGGAATAACACCAGGGACCGCCCAAACCACCTTCCCCAGCTTGGACTATTCAAATGATCATTGGAAGAGGAAACGACGCATCTATCAACAGCGTGAAGTTTACCACTACCCACAAACTTAAACGGTCCATCACCCACGAATGGCATGATGAACTCGAAGAAAGTATCATCTTCGATAAGTCAGATACTCACGGTTTGGTCCTTCCTTACTATGACTCTCTTGTCATTACTTTACGTGTCTTTGATACTGATGTAAAACGTATTATGATCGATGACAGGAGCGGCACGTGCATCATCCGCCCTCGAGTCCTCACCCAAATGAAGCTCGAGGTAAAGATAGTGCCGCGTTGCATCACGCTAACTGGCTTTAACAATGCAGTTGAGCGGACATATAGAGAAATCACGTTGCCCGTCCTGGCCGGTGGTGTTACTTTGGAAACCATATTCCACATTATGGACCAGGATACGACGTACAAAGCTATCATATGTCGACATTAGATACACGCCATGAAAGCTGTCCCCTCCAGATTATACCAAGTCATCAAATTTGCCACCCTCTAGGGAGTATTCAGCATTCGAGGAGAGCAACGCACGACCCGAGAATTCTACTACATCGCCTAAGACTGCACATATACCCAACAACTAAAAGGAAAGGCCAAGGAGGCATAGCAATTAACGAAGTCGGGGTCAGATGGCATTGAGGGGAAAAACGTCGTGCGAGACCCCGAAATCATAGAAGCCACAGGGTCAACCGTAGAGGACCTCGACCCTGTCCAACTAGACGATAACAACCATAACAAGAAAGCTTTCATCGGCCATAAGCTCCAAGATCCAAGTAAATTTCGCCAATTCTTAAAAAGTAACGTAGACCTATTTGCTTTTTCCTATGCAGACATGCCAGGTATCCCGAAGTATATAGCAACTCACAAGTTGAACGTTGACCCATTTTACCCCTAGTGAGGCAAATTACACGAAAGTTCAACTCTACAATAAATGACACGGTTCGCGAAGAGGTCAAAAAAATGTTAGAAAATGGTTCTATTAGAGAATCGAAGTACCCTCAGTGGGTCGCCAACGTGGTCATGGTGAAAAAGAAGAATGGAAGTGGCAGATATGCGTAGTCTTCATAGATCTGAACAAAGCCTGCCCAAAAGACTCGTTCCCGCTGCCCCATATCGACCAACTCATCGACGCTACAACCAGGCACGAACTACTAAGCTTCTTGGACTCCTACTCGGGCTACAACCAAATACTCATAGAGGAGGAGGACTAGAAAAAAGCCACTTTCATCACCCATCAGGGGACATACTGCTATAGGGTGATGCCGTTTGGGTTGAAAAACATAGGGGCAACATATCAGAGGCTAGTGACCAAAATGTTCAAAGATCAACTCTGCAAGACCATGGAAGTATATATAGACGACATGCTGGTCAAGTCAAAAAGGAAGTAAGACCACATCGACCACTTGAGGGAAGCCTTCGACATACTCAGAAGGTACGACATGAAATTGAACCCCGAAAAATATGCTTTCGGTGTAACCTCTGGAAAGTTCCTCGAATTCTTGGTATCACAACGAGGCATCGAGGTCAACCCCGACCAAATCAGGGCCATAGAAGGAATCCCAGAAAATTTAACCAACAAGAAACAAGTACAAAAACTGACTGGCCATATAGCCGCCCTGTCGAGATTCATCTCATGGTCCTCCGATAGGTGCCAACATTTTTTTGGCGTACTTATAAAGGATAACGGACTCCAATGGAATTCTGAGTGCGTTGACACCTTAAAAGAACTAAAGGCCTACCTGTGTTCCCCCCACCCCGTTGCTCGCTAAGGCAAAACACGGAGAGCGTCTCCTTGTCTACCTGGCCATGTCTAATGTCGCAATAAGTACAGTCCTGGTACGAGAAAATAAAGGTACGCAGTCTCCAATCTACTACATTAGTAAAACTTTGGACGACGCTGAAACGAGGTACCCCCACCTCGAGAAGCTAGCTCTGGACTTAGTTGTAGCTTCACGAAAGCTTAGACCTTATTTTCAGTGCCACTCCATCTCAGTGGTCACGACTTTTCCTCTAAGGAGTATCCTGTATAAACCCGAACTGTTGGGCAAATTGGCCAAGTGGGCCATAGAGCTGAGCGAGCATAATATAACCTATCAGCCGCGAACGACGATAAAGTCGCAAGTACTTGCTGACTTCATCGCCGACTTCAATGCGAAAATAATGCCCGAAGTCGAAAGGGAAACTGCCAGTACTTCTACCAAAATGCACGGCCAATGGGTTTTTTATACCGATGGCTCTTCTAACGCGTCAGGATCTGGACTAGGACTCGTGCTCGAGGTCCCAACAGGCGAAATAGTTCGCCAGTCCATACGGTGCCCTGATATGACTAACAATGAGGCCGTGATTGCAAGGTTAAAATTGGCACTCAAGTATGGAGCACGGCGAGTAGTCTTGCGATGCGACTCGCAACACGTCGTCAACCAAGTTACAGGGAATTTCCAAATTAAGGAGCAACGGCTACAGAAATACCAAGCCAAAATTTTCAAACTATTACCCGAGTTCAACAAATGGCAGCTCGATCAAATACCCCGAGCGCAGAACATCGAAGCGGACGACCTCACCAAACTGGTAGCGGCCACCAAAAGCATAATCGGAGAAGGGAATGTGGTCACCCTCCTCCATTCATCGATCGACCAAATCGAGGTACGAACTATAAACTTGACTTGGGACTGGAGCAATCGTATTATCTCATATTTACAGGATGGGGTGCTCCCACCCGATAAAAAAGAAGCCAAGAAACTTCGCATGCAGGCGTCCAGGTACAACGTCATTAATAACGACTTGTACAAAAGAACGTTTGGCGACCCCTTAGCAAAGTGATTAGGACCAAATCAAATGCGACGCGTCCTCGAAGAAGTACACGAAGGTCACTACGGAGCTCATACCAGCAATCGAGCTCTCGTTAGATGCCTCATACGAGCATGCTACTATTGGCCCATGATGAAAAAGAAGGCTGCCGATTTCATAAGAAAATGCGAGCAATGCCAAAAATATGCCCCGATGATTCACCAAGCGGGCAAGAACCTCCACTTAGTCACCTCGCCCTGGCCTTTCATCAAATGAGGAATGGACATCGTCGGACCCCTCCTAGCAAGACGAGGTAATGTACGATTTCTTTTAGTTTGAACTGACTAATTTTTCCAAGTGGGTAGAAGCAGGTGCATTCGCCCAAATACGCGAGCAAGAAGTGATCACGTTCATATGGAGAAACATCATATGTTGTTTTGGCATCCCCAAAGAAATCAGTTGTGATAACGGGCCCTAGTTCACTGGGAAAAAGATCGCCGAGTTCTTTGGAAAATGGAACATCAAAAGAATACTCTCCACACCATATAACCCTATAGGAAATGGCCAGACGGAGTCTTCCAACAAATCAATATTGAACATCATGAAAAAGAAGCTCGAGAATGCCAAGGGACCGTGGTTGGAAGTGCTATGGACATACCGCACAACGCCGAAAACAAGCACAAGATAAACACCATATTCACTAGTCTATGGGAATGACGTAGTAATACCGGTCGAGGTCGGAGAACCAAGCCTGAGATATTCACATGAGAGCGGACCAATTAACGACGAAAGCAGGAGGCAAGACCTCGATGAAGTCAGAGAGCAAAGAGATATGGCTTACATAAGGATGGTCACTTAAAAATAACAAGCGCAGCGATATTACAACAAAAAAGCCAAGGTCAGACCACTCAAAGTAGGGGACTATGTACTCAAAGCCAAAACACAGGTGAGCAAGGATCCACGAGAAGGAAAACTAGGGACTAATTGGGATGGCCCATATAGGATTACGACAGCAGCAAGCAAATGGTCATTCCAACTAGAAACAATGAAGGGGAAATTATTGCCGAACAATTGGAACGTCGCCCACCTCAAGTACTTTAACTTATAAGAAAAGATGTTCTTCGGGCCGTACTCTTTTTCCCTCACTTGAATTTTGTCCCAACTGGGTTTTCTCAAGGAGGTTTTTAACGAGACGGCAATGGGAACATCTCGAAGTTTAAGGCTCGAGCAGGATAGTTTGCAAGTTAACAAGTTTATTTTTTGACCCCTCAAATACTTCTCCAGGCCGAACAATAAAGGGACTAGATAGACTGGGACTGGAATACCAGCCCGAAAAGCATGTAAACTTTGATATATATATATATATATATATATATATGAAAGCAAAGCATACAAACACATGCTCAAATCAAGATTTTACTCTGCGCCGCATTCGACCTCATTCGAATTAACTCGCATTCGACCTCGTTTGAATCAACTAAGAGTAAACATTCGACCTCGCTCGAATCAACTCACATTTGACCTCGTTTGAATTAATTTGCATTCGACCTCGCTCGAATCGACTCACATTTGACCTCGTTCGAATTAACTCGCATTCGACCTCCCTCGAATCGACTCACATTTGATCTCGTTTGAATTAACTTGCATTCGATCTCATTCGAATCAACTAAGAGTCAATATTTGACCTTGCTCGAATCGACTCACATTCGACCTTGTTCGGATTAACTAACTTTCGACCTCGTTCGAATCAACTAAGAGTCAACATTTGACCAAAGCCTGCCCAAAAGACTCACATTCGACCTCGTAAAGATTAACTAACATTCGACCTCGTTCGAATCAACTAAGAGTCAATATTTGACCTCGCTCGAATTGACTCACATTTGATCTTGTTCGGATTAACTAACATTCAACCTCATTAGAATTAACTAACATTCGACCTCGTTCAAATTAATTAACATTTGACCTTATTCAAATTAACTGACTTTCGACCTTGCTCGAATTAATTAAACATTGGACCTCGTTCGAATTCATATTCGATCACACTCGAATTCAACTCATGCTCAACCTAACTTCAGTTCGATTTACAACTTCTTTCAAATTAAGTACAACATGGGACTTCACCCAAGTTCAACCAAATATATACTCGACGATGTTCGAAATAGCAGGTACGAACACAACTCTTCCAAAAAAAACATTCGAATAAAATTAAAAGGGCCCAAGAACATATAGTAAAAAGTCATCCATCCCAAAAATAAAATACCTTACAAAGGGCCAGAAAGATGCCCCCACAAAAAAAGAAAAGAAGAACAAAAACTAAGTACAAAAGCATCACACCACATCATCTCCGCCTTCGCCATCGCCACCTTTACCGCCCGATCCAGCAGTGCCATCTCCATCATCGCCCCCGCCATCGGGATACTTATCGTCATACCAAGTATCAGATGCAACCCATCCAAGTCCTCTTCACCATCACCGGTCCCCGGAATAGCAGGGTCATAACCACGGGCAATCCTGGCGTCACGTGCCTTAACACGAGCATCTTCAAAATCGGCCTCAGGAACCTTCCCCACCGTCATCAAATTCCTATATATGTCTTGTTGAACCTCAGCGTGGATCCACATCTCATACAAATGCCAAGGAATGTAGGGG